ATGCATTTATATTCCTGGTATGAAAAATAATTTTAAAATTTATTAAACATTTATAATATTAGGTATATTAATTTGCTTAATTATTTACTTGCTTAGTTACTGCATTACGTCTGAAAAACTCCTTACATGAGGCACATGTAATTGCTTGAAAGTTGTAGCCTACTCAAATAAATATAATTATATTATACTAATTTATTAAATTTTATTTAGTTAAATATCTATATAAAATTATAATTTACGTTACCAACAGATTTGTCGCCACATATTACACAAATTGAATCATCCATGTTAATTATAAAAATATTTACTTTGTGAATTTATATTATAATATTACTCTCAAAAACTTCCATTAATGTTTTTGCATGCTAATAAAACAATTAGTTTCATAGTGATACCCTTGATAATGAATATAGTTTTATTATATCACATGATATTCATAAAAAAGTTATAAAACAACTTTAAATTATTTCATAGTAACTTTATATTACTTTAATTATCAGTGTGAATTCACTATACAATATAAAACTAACGCAATAAATTATTTATTATAAATTGAACAAAAAATTAAAAATATAAATGACTTTTATGAAATATGTTTTATTTGTTTTAACAATTATAAATACAATAAAAAGTAAATTGATAATGATTGACTTTATATTATTTATACTTTATCAATTTATATGCAAATTACAAATCATGAACAATTTGCTTATTCCGTTGCAGTCGATGATTCAATAATATCATTGTCCACACAATCTCTACAGTTGAGCTTAAACGTAGCCAACAGTCGGGAATATGTACCTAGTTTAAATTTAAGTAATTACATTATATGTATACTGTAATATTTTTTTATATAAACTAACCATATTTTAAGGTCACCGTTTCATTACTGGGTAAGGCCTCTGTTAGTTGGTATTTTTGTGCAATGTCCTTTTTATCAAAATTAATTGACTCGTCACCTTTAGCCCATGTATACTCCATATCAACCATGCTAAATCCATCTAGATGAAATAGATAAATACACACTTATAATAAGCTAATTTGTTGTGAATCATATAAAAATAAAATAATTATTATAAAATGTATAAATGTGCTCTATAAATGAAAATTTTATGAATACACATAGACAATTAATAAAATATTTAAAAAAAATTATAAGCATGAAATTAATGACATTATTAATTAGTTATCACCATGCTACTTACATGATTCCATTTCTAGTGTACACTCGTCCGACTTAACACTTTTCTGCGGTCCGCACCTGTAGTTCACTTTAATTCTGAAAATTTATTTTTAAAATAATTTATAAATTTCTCGTATACTATATGTTTTCAGTTCACCTTTCGCTATACAAAACATCGCCATTAGGTTTAACTTTCAAGAAAGTGTTCCGGGTCGGGTATTTCACGATATTCACGTCCATGGAGTTTGAGAAAAATGTGTCAGGTACCCATACCCTCTCCAAGAGTGACTGTCCACCATACACATCCTCGGTTATGCTATTGGATACCAGTCGAGGGTCGTTCCACATTTGCCGGAAATACATCATCATGCTCATATCCTATGTCAAATATTAAAATTTTAAAATTATGCTAGCTAATGTTAATCTTTTGAAATACAAACAAAACTGACCCTAGTTTCCGGGTTAAAGTCGTAGTTGATAACATACATAGTGATGCCAACTTGAACCGAGGTATTTTCTGCAGTAAATTTGTATTTCATAATATTAAATAAAAATAATATATTACAAATAATTAATATGCTCAAAGGTACCTGCTAAGTTAGGCCTTATATCCTTGTCGTACATTGGCGAATTAGTAAGCATCTTGAAATTTTTCACCGCGGCAACCCTAGGACTAATGCCTAATAAATCAGCCCTAGGATATTTTTACAATTAATTAATAAAATTTGTAGTTAGTATAATTAATATGAAGTGGTATGTTAGGGTACTTACATTTTAGG